CTGTCAAACACATAAGTCAAAGTTAAGTCCAAAGCTTAACTGATTCAGCAGCTAATGATACAATGAATTACTTTTAGATTCGGTTTCTTTTTTTGCATAGTGAAAAAAGAGCACTCATAGGTTCCAGCTCCTAGTCGTCCTTGTCCCAAACAACAAAAATGATGTCAATGAAACACAAGAAGACAGAGGACTGCCATGTGAGTTGTGGGATATCTCTCTTTTTTTTCTCCTCTTTTTGTCACCCAGGCTGGAGTGCAGTAGCATGCTCACAGCCACCACAGCCTCGACCTGCTAGGCTCAGGCAATTCTTCTGCCTCAGCCTTCCAAGTAGCTGAAACTGCAAGCATGTGTTGCCACACCCGGCTAATTTTTTGATTTACTGTAGAAATGAAGTCTTGTCAAGTTGCCCAGGCTGGTCTTGAACCTGTGGGTTCAGGCAATCCTCTTGTCTTGGTCTCCCAAAGTGCTGGGATTACAGACTTGAGTCACCGTGCCCAGCCGGGATATATCATTTCTAAGAAGCTGATTTTTGTAGTCTGTAGCTCTATTCTGAGGGAAGTGGATCAGGAAACCTTGTACCTTACCAGAACCCAGGAAGCGGGAGACAATGGAAAACTTTCTCATGACAGTCTCCCAGGGAAGATAAAGAGACAAGTGAGAAATGACCTTGAAGCAGCTCCTCTCAGGCCTTCCAACCTTTTGTGCGCTGGAAGGATCACAAGCATTCTGTCAAGACTCAGATTAGCTGTGTGGTTCAAGCCTTTGCCTGAGGGTCCATTGTGGGTATTGTCAGACCTCACAAGGTCACTAGGGTGCCAGGGTGGAGTCCTTCTCCTATGAAGATTAGCTGAAGCTCCATGTAGCTTCCCCAGGAGGAAGCAAAAGGAAAGTCAGGATATGTTGAAAAGTCTTCTTTCTCCCTCCCTTCTGCAGACCTTCCATTCATGTCCTTTCATTCTTCTCAGTCTCTTTGGGGTTGAGGGTGGGGACGGGGCAGAGATTAAAGGAATAATTAAGATATACAAGACATTTAGTCCCTGAGAGATTCAGTACCAAGGCCAGAGAATCCAAAGGCCCAAGTCTGTTGCTATCCAGCTCTTAGTTTTTCAAGGTCCCCTCTAGTTCTGACGGTATGAATTTCCATAAATACAAATTTAGTGAATGTAGTGCTACAAGCCTAATCTGCATACCTTCCTCAAGAATGTTGGGACATCAGGGCAGATCACCAGGAATCCTATGACTGTTACAGAGAAGTGGATGACATTACTGCTACTTTAGGACCACCATCAGATTCCCTTTTGGAGTGAACATCCTCTCCTATACACACTTCAATTGGACCTCCCCTTCCAATCTCCCCTATTTATATTTGCCACCATTATTTATGAGCTTTCCACTTCAGCCCTCTCCTCCATCCTGCTTTACTTGATAACCATACAATAGTGCTCTAGCTAGCCTTGTCTCCGTTTCAAATTTCAGATTAGCTGTCTGACAGTCTTCCTTATGTCTATGAGGGGAATTGCCAAAGACATTCCACTTTCCAAGGGCAGAGTAGTTCACTTGATATAGCAACTGACAGGGATGCTACATGCCACTTTGCACAATCATGACCTTTCCCCCCCAAACTCCCACAAATACACTCCTTATATGGGGCAGAGGAGAGGGTCTTGGTATAGTCACCACTGCAATTAATCATTCAACCATTCATTTATTCATTCATTCCATAAATAGTTTACTAATGGCCCCGTCTTGTCGGTGCTGGAGCTCAGTGATGAATAAGACAAGTCTCTGCCCTCATGAGACTCAAAATCTAGAGGAGGTACAGATGATCAATGGGTGAACACTTTTCTAATCATATGAGCTATCACTGACTGGTTGCTTAGTGTGCCTGACACTATGCTAAGCACCTGAAATACAGTGATTTCTTTAATCCTCCAAGCAACCCAATGAGGTAAAGTCTATAATTGGTTCCCTAGAACATGAAGTTAATTCCAGCGCCCATGCCCAGACCTGCAGATTCCTAGATAACCAGTGAGCAGCTAGCAAGGGTCTTTGCCATGACTGCCTTTGGCACGAAGTAAATAAGTTTGAGGCCCAGCACTGAAGAAATGACACAGCCCATCAGCACCTGAAGTCGGGGTTAACCAGGAGGGCCTTCCAGGACTTCTGTAGAAACCCTCAAATCTGCCCCCGCCCCTGGCGCGGTTTTCTAATCATTTTTTGTCTTCTTTCTCTTCCCTAGTCCCCCTCCCCTTTCTCGTCCAGCCCCTCCCCCTGGGCCGCCCCCTCTCTGAGTCATTTCCACTTCCCCGCCCCAAGGACCTTCGCTCTCTCTGGAATCCCGTCCCCGCTGACAGGAAGTAGAGGAAGGGCAAACTGACTCTGGGGACCAGGTGAGAGCTTTCCCCAGTGAGGATGAGAGCTTTCCCCAGCCACCTCCTCGTTTTCCCCGGCTCTCCTCCCTATTCCTGGGGACGGGAATCCTGAGAATTCCCTCTGGCCGAGCTGCCGGAGTCCCTGCCATCTGAAGGCCCTGCTGGCTGAGCGTGGGAGGTGCCGCACCCCGCCCGGTGTCTCCTGGGATGTGAGGAAGGAAGCGGCGGCCCAGTCAGACGGGCCTGTGGGGCTGCCGCGGCTCGGGTTCCGCGCTGGGAGGGATTTCGCTTCCGCGAACCTGAGGGGCGTGGGAGGGCCGGCCCCAGAAGCCAGCGGTTGAGAGGAGAGAGGGAAAAGGCCCCCAGGGATGCGTGTGGTGGGGTGCGTGCGTGCGCAAGTGGGCTGGTACGTATAGTGAGGGAGAATGCGGGGGTGGGGTGGGGGGTGCTGCTTGTACGTGTGGGGGAGATGCGAGTATGTGGTGGGTGATTTCCACAGGTGCCGGCGTGGGGGCGTGCGTGTGGTGACAGACACATGTTCAAGCGTGGAGACTCACAGCGGTGCCAGGCGGGGATGAGCGTGTGCGCTTGTGGAGGTGTGTGTGAGGGCATATATATGCATCTGTGCTTGTGCGTGGGGTGCGTGCGTGCGTGGAGGTACGTACGTGGGGTCGTGTGTGTGGGGTGCTGCGTGCGTGTAGGCGTGCGGTGGCGGAAGAAAGAACCTAAAAGAATGCTGACTGACAGCAGGTGCTGGGACTGACACTACCTACATGTGCAACTGAGGTAAAGGTGTCAGAGAAGCTCTTGCTGACTGAGCTTAAAGTCATGATTCTTAACCTTTTTTTTTAAGGTGGGCGGTAGGATGACACGGAGCCCTTGAAAATCAGGAAAACTATCGACCATCTCCTTTTTAAAAAAAAATTATTATAAAGATGTGGGGTACAATTCAGGGTTAGGTATACAAACACTGATCATGCAGGTACCCCTGTGACCATTTCCTTTTTAAAAACTGCCCCATGGATTGCATGTAAGCATAGAGGGTTTGTGGGCCCACAGATGGCCATCTGTAGCCCTCAGATATGTTTTCAAGGGGGGAGAAAATCCGAATAGATTACTTTGTTATCTGCCATTGTGTCTTTTGATTCTGTGAGAGAAAATGGAACAGGTGACAAAACTGCTGCCTAATCTTTCTATGGGCCTGTCGTTGGCTTGGTATAGCTTTGAGGCTAGCTAGGTTTGCTGCTCTTGTGTGACATGGTGGCTGCAGAGTGGGGGTATAAAACAGGATCACTCCCAGAGTAAGAGAGTAAGAGTGCAGAAGGGTGCCTCGTGGACTTCCGGATAAAACATGGCCCCTTCCCAAGCCAGTTCTGGTAGATCTCACTAGCCTCAAGTCTTGCTGATCAGCTCCTTAGTAAGTTTGGAGTGAAGAGGTTTGTAGTGCTTTTGTGTGTTATTTTCCCCCCAAGGATCTAGACAGCCTGTGGGTAGTGTGGGGAGTATGAATCCAAGATTGGGACTTTTTGGGTAAGTGGCAAGGACTTGGGCTCTGATCCTATCTTTAGCATTAACTAACAATGTGACATTAAGCAATTTTCTTTTTTAAAAAAACTGTATCATTGGTAATGGAAGGGCATTTTTGGGTCATTGAATACTATATTTTTAAATTTTAGACCCGGGGATACCCATGCATATTCATTACATGAACACATTGTACAGTGGTAAGGATTTGGTCTCAGGCGCCCATTACTCAGATAGTGAACATTGTGCCACATAAGTAAAGTAATTTCTTAAACTTAAGCTCCCTTCCCCCTCCCTCCTTATTGGTGTCCTCAGTGTCTATTATTTCCATCTTTATGACCACTTAGCTTTCACATATGAGTGAGAACATGCAGTAATTTTGTGGGATTTTTTTCTGTTTCTGAGTCAGTTTACTTAGGATGATCTCCAGCTCCATCCATGTTGCTGCAAAGAACATGATTTTATTATTTTTCATGACTGCTCATTAAGCAATTTTCTTGATCTTCCTGTGCCTCACTTTACTCATGTATAACATGGATTGGTATCTCAAAGGGTAGTTGAAAGTGTAAAAAAGACTATAATAAATTCCCAGAATATGTTAACCAATGGCAGCATACCTAGAAATATGTGTGTGTGTGTGTGTGTGTGTGTGTATTTATTTATTTATTATTATTTTTGAGTTGGAGTCTCTCACTCTGCCATCCAGGCTGGAGTACAGTGGCATACTCATGGCCACCTTCGCCTCGACCTGCTGGGCTCAGGTGATCCTTCTACCTCAGCCTTCCAAGTAGCTGAAACTACAGGCACGTGCCACCATGCCCAGCTAATTTTTCTTTATTTATTGTAGAGATGAGATCTCACCAAATTGCCTAGGCTGGTCTCGAACTCATGGGCTCAGACAATCATCCCGTTTTGACCTCCCAAAGTGCTAGAACTATAGGTATGAGCCACCGTACCTGGTCATGTATATATTATATGTGTGCGTGTATACACACACACACACACACACACACACACACACACACATATTTGCAGAGAAGTTAAAGTAAAAATTTTATTCTGGAAGAAGGTCTTAAACTACTGACTTATTTTTGTTTTTTTTCTAGGCACACATAGTTGTGCTTTTCTCAGCAAAAGCCCTCCAAGTTCATCCTGTAAAGTTGCACATTTGAAGTAAGTGGGACTTTATTTTGAATTTTTTGCAATGTACAGATAGATAATGGTTAGTCCATCATCAGTTCTTACCCTGGAATGCTGCCTTAGTTTTCAAGCCTTCATACTTGCCTGCTTCATTCTTTTTCATCCCCCATGTTGCAGTCAGAGGTATCTTTCCTTCTGAGAAGCAAAATAACATATTGGTTTGGAGCACAGACCTTGGTGTCAGACATATCTCCTGCAGATCCCAATTGTACCCTGCTACATTGCTCTGTTATATGACCTTGCACTCATTATGTCACTTGTTATTTTTCTGTTTTTTGAATATCAACTTATTTTGAATATACATCACTTTGTAAGCTAGGAAACAAAACCAACCTAAGGCAATCTAGCACTCTAGGGATCTAGACTGAGTTTTATGATCTTTAGTAGAATGACATCATAAAGGCAACTTCTTCGGGTTCCCTCCCACTACAGGAGCTTTTCTGTCCTCTTAACAAATCCTGTACAACAACAACAAAAAAGAATGATGTCATAATACAGTGTGCTCACAATAGAGTTATAAACACTAAATAATAACCATTTATCTACATTTTTCATTAAGAAACAGCCTAAAGTTCAGTCCTTAAAAACATGACTTATAGAACATCATGCTCTACAATGAACAGAAAGACTCCAGTTATATGCTGTTCAACCTATTGGTGAATTGGATCAGAGCTGGCCAAGGATTGATAAACAGAGAAAGTGTTTACATTTTGAAAACTTGTTCTGAGGTTTAAAAATTTCCTGGTTGCTGTTAATAAGAAACTCAGTAAAAAATATTACAGATGGGCCCACACTGATATTTGATTTTACCAAGGTCTTCCCCTAGAACATAAAGGTAGAGATAAGTTTAGGGGATAATATACTGAGATATTTTTAAAAATGAATTACTTAGTAATAAGAAATTAGACATACTATGTTATTTAATTTGCTACAAGAACAGATTGACAGTGAAAACTATTTAAAAGAAAATCTCAACTCTAAGGAGGATGGTGGCAGCAACACTTTCTGCTACAGAATAACCTCCCGTTTTCTCAGAAATTTGTTTTTCTCAGGAAATTATTTCCTCAGAAAATTGCTATTTTTCCATGGTACATATTCATATGGAAAAACTTGTCAGGAGCTTTTACCAGGGATAGGAGATGAAAAATAGAACATGTCCTAATCAACTCAGTTAACATAATTGGGATGGACCCATAAAATCTGGCCATTGTTTTATTAAAAATCTGCAAGCTACAGAATTCCTTAGCCCTTAGCTATGGTTTCTGCTCAATATCTTACAGTTGGGCACAGTCCCACCGTGACTCTTCTCAGGGCTGAAATGAGTACTAATCATCAAAGTCTGAAATTTCATTGGAGGAGTAACCCCAGTAGCCTTTGAATGCTTTGCAGAGAAGGTAAAATCTCAACAGGGACACCAAAATGATGGAATGACCTGGTCTGTCCCCTCTTTGCTGATATAGCCCAAAAGCAGGAGGGAACCTATGATAATGAGAAAGGTGCAAGTTCAGTGGCCTTGTAAGAGATCTTAGGAGGACTTTTCTTAAACTGAAAGTCAGTGTAGCCATTGTCTGTGCTGAAGAGCCTGGAGTATTTCTCACTTTACTTCTTAGGAATTTCAGTAGCCAGGCTGGTATGGGACAGAATCATAATTTGCTGACGTAGCTACACTCAGAGCATATGCCAAGCTACCCGCATGCCTAGAACTCGCCCACAGTTGGCAGCAGAAGTCCCTGAGGTCACATAGCACAGCCCATCTAACTACCACCCTGCCTGCCCCAACAAGGACCAGTGTGCTGGAAGTCTCTTTAAGAATCCCTTTCCTTATCTGTAAAGGGGGACAATGGTAATACCAGCCTCAAGAGTTTTGTGATGGTTTGCCACGATGGTGTCTGTAAAGTAGCCCATAGTAACTGCTCAATAAATGGTAGATTAAAAATGGTAAGGGCAGTAAAGCTACTAGCAAGAGAGTTGAATTGTTGAAGTGATGCACCATGACACTTGGACTAGATAGGGAGTGAAGCCATGAGGTGGTAATGAGCTGGAGAATGGGAGAAATCAAAGGATGGGAGATTTTTTTTTTTTTAGTTGGAGTCTCATTCTGTCACCCAGGCAGGAGTGCAGTTGTATGCTTACGGCCACTGCAGCCTCAACTTGCTGGGTTCAGGCGATCCTTCTACCTCAGCTTTACAAGTAGCTGAAACTACAAGTACACACCACCATGCCCAGCTAATTTTTTTATTTATTGTAGAGACAAGGTCTTACCAAGTTGCCCAAGCTTGTCTCAAACCCCTGAACTCAGGCAGTCCTCTCACCTCTGCCTCCCAAAGTGCTGGGATTATAGGCATGAGCCACCGTGCCCCACAGGCTGGGAGATCTTGATGAGAATGTGGAGTAGGTAGCCTAAGAACCAAGAAGTAAGAAGAGTAGACAGAGATTGAGTGAGTGGTGTTCAAGAATTCTAAAGTGGAGTAGATCTGTGTTTATTGTGTGATCTAGGACACTAGTGACTTGAAGTGACATGTGGTCAGAGGTGGATGAAATGTAGAGGAAATCAAAGGACAGTGAGGCTAGCATGTTGGGTGAGTCATACAGACATTGATGTTGCTTACATGATGGCAGGGGTTGAAATAGAGAGGAAAATGGAACCAGTGCCAAAGTCAAGTTCCCCTCTGATTAATGGAGAACAGTCATTTATTTCACAAATATTTACTGAACTTTTACTAGATGTAAAATATATACAGTATAACAAGATAGCAATATATATAATATATGTTGTATATACATATAAACTATATCATTAGACTATATAATTATATACAATATACTACAACATATATTGTAATATAGTATATACAATACATATATACAATATACTGAGGGGTGCCAAAAAAATGTATACACATTTAATGTTCGCCTTAATCAGAAGTGTCTGGACACTGGTGGTAACCACTTGGAGCACCTCTTATAATTGCAGAAGTCAAATGTGACCTGTATTCATCTTATTGAGCATTAGAATTTTAATACAGTTTTTTTTCCTTTCTTAACGTGTATACATTTTTTGGGTACCCTCTGTATGTTGTATAACAATATATACAGTATAACAAGATAGACAAGAATCTGCTCTCTTGGAGTTTACAGGCTAGTGAGAGTGATAACAAGCATTAATAATCCTGCCTATAAATGCTCTAGCCATAGGAAAATAATGTGAGCTGGGACTGGATGGCAGGCCCCCTTTAAGAGTTGGGGCTTTATACTAGGAGCAATGGGAACATTCCTATTAAAGATTTTTATAAGGTGAATGACATGATTGGATTTGTATGTTTGTTTCTTAAGTAAGTATGACTATATGCTTATTTTTTTTTTTTTAAAAAAGGGCTGGGCATGGTGACTCAAGCCTGTAATCCCAGCACTTTGGGAGGCTGAGGTGGGAGGATTACCTGAGCTTAGGGGTTCAAGACCAGCCTGGGTAACTTTGTAAGACCTCATCTCTACAATAAATCAAAAAATAAGCTGGGCATGGTAGCGTGTGCTCATAGTTCCAGCTACTTGGAAGGCTGAGGTGGAAGGATCACCTGAGCCTAGCAGGTCGAGGCTGCAGTGGCTGTGAGTATGCCACTGTATTCCAGCTTGGGCGACAGAGTGAGACTCCAACTAATAATAATAATAATAATAATAATAATAGCCAAACAACATAGAAGTATATAGGGTAAATTATGAAAGGCCTGTTTGTGTGTATGTTAGTTTATATGCATCTATGTGCACACACTTATACACATATATAAAATACACGTGTATGATGTGTAAACACATAATAGACAGATATGTATATAATAAGTAAAAATGATACATACTACTTTTTAAAAATGTAAACATACAATAGTTTTATTTCCATGTTATATATAGATCCACCTCATTCTTAAGTGCTGCATAGTATTCCATGTTATGAATGTATCATGACTTATCTATTTTTTTGACTTATCTAACTATTGCCCTATTTATTGGTGGACATTTAAGTTGTCTCTGATTGTATATTAATTTTTCAGTGTGCCATTTTATACAATTTAATTTTTGTTCTAATATTGTGTTTTAAATTTTATTTTTTAATTACATGAGGAGTACACAAGGAGTTACATGAGGAACACATAAATATTTTCTTTAAAAAATTGTAAAAATATAGGACTATGTAACAATAAGAGTAAATGCTTATACAGGCTTATTCTGCTTGGCATCATTCTAAATGCTTTAAATAGATTAGCACATTTACTCTTTACAACAATTCATGAGATAAGTACTGTTATTTTTTCCATTTTACAGTAGGGACACTGAGGCACAAAGAGGTCGGGTAACTTGTCTGAAGTCATACAGCTCATTATATTCCTTTACTTCTATCCCAGTACATACAGTGCCCTACAACAAATTTTTCTTTTTCTTTTTTTTTCTTTTTTGAGTTGCAGTCTCACTCTGTCGCTCAGGCTGGAGTGCAGTAGTGTGCATGCTCACTGCCACCCAGCATCAACCTGCTGGGTCAGGAGATCCTTCTGCCTTAGCCTTCCAACTTAGCTGGAACTACAGGCGTGTGCTACCACACCCGGCTAATTTTTTTATTTTTATTGTAGAGATGAGGTCTCGCCAAGTTGCCCAGGCTGTTCTTGAACCCGTGGGCTCAGGCAATCCCCTCACCACAGTCTCCCAAAGTGCTGGGATTACAGACTTGAGCGACCGCACCTGACCTACAACAAATTTAATGTTTGGTTTGTTGGTTTGTTTTTTACATACTAGGTTAATATTGTGTTATCCTGCAACTAGCTTTTTCCACTTAACTATGTATCTTTGACAATTTCCATGTCTTTATTTTTAATTACTCAATTATATATAAGCACATTTTTCATGGTAAAAGGTTAAAACAATACATGATATAGTGAGAGTAGATCTTGAAACCTGTGTTAAAAACTCCAAAACAACCAACTGTCCAA